CAAAGTGGGAGGAAACCTGGGCAGGCAGTCAGGTGAGCCGTGCACACAGAGTGTGGCTTCTCTGATGTACCCTGCGCGTGTCACCTCCACAAGTGGGGGGTAAGGGAGTGGACAGGATGCGGACCCACGGACAGCTGGGTTCTCCCCAGCGGCCATGGTGAACACGCCTCTCTCTTTCCCATGAGGCCCCTGGCTATGCATACGGTTGGCGATGGGCTGCGGATGGATAGGCTGGCGTTTGGACTCACCTAGCAATGGTCACTGTGAAAGAAAGGCCGGACAAGCTGCTTTCATCAGGACCGTGAGCCAAGGAGACTCTTTAGCAGTTCTGCCCGTGGTGCTCGGGGTCGTGGTGCTCGGGGTCGCAGCGGAGGGACCAGCTGGATAAGGCAATGGGCTGTGTTTGGGGTTTTCCTTCCTAAGTGGTAAGAGCCCTAGTACCCCTGCCAGGTCCGTGCTGGACGGCTAACCACAAGGTCAGCACTTACACCCAGCAGGCTCTCCTTGGGAGAAAGAGGCGGCTGTCTGTTCCCATAATCAACAGCCTTGGAAATGCTATTCGGGGTCATCAACCAGGTGGCACTGGGTTTGGGGTTTTTTTTGTGGGGGGGTCCTCCTCAGAAGGGGAGCCCTGGTGGTGGTAATGGGTTACACATTGGGCTGATAACTGCAAGGTCAGAGGTTCGAAACCATCAGCGGGAGCTAGAGATGGCTTTCTAGTCCCACACGCAGTTACAGCCTTGGAAACCCACAGGGGCAGTGTTGCCCTGTCCTTAGGGTCGCTATGAGTCTGAATCGGCAGCGAGTTCCTCAGAAGGAGCCCCGGTGGAATAGTGGGCTGTGCACTGCTAACTGCAAGGTTAGCGGTTCAAGCCCACTAGCTGCTGTGAGAGAAGATGAGGCTGTCTGCTCCTGGGAAGATGTAAAGTCCTGCTCTGTCAGGTGGCTAAGGGTTGTGTGTAACTCCACCGCGGGGGCTGCTCGATGCAATGCGTTCAGCACCAAGCCACAGGAAACAGAAGGGTACCTCCAGGGTCGAACCCACCAACTGCTCCCCGGGGGAAAGATGGGTCGTTGGCTCCTGTGAAGGGGTTCAGCCTGACTCTGTCTTGTAGGGTCACCGGGCTCAACTATGGCATAGTTGTGAGGACAGCGCAGGGCGCACCTCAGGTCGCTCGAAGTGGAACCTGCTCAGGCACCAAACAGCCACACCACCAGGGTCAGAGCCGACAAGACAAGGCGTGGGGCTGAGGGAAAGCGGTTTGGGGGTGTGAATTCAGGATCGTGCAGAACGAAACAGCATCTTGCTTGGTTAGATTCCCACGCCATCACACTTAACATAGATAGAATCTACCCCAGACCTGGAACCGCTGTCAGCGCCATCTGTATGAGCCTGTTGGCACAGTGTTGAGGTGGAAGTGAGCCTGCTGTGGGGGGGCCACTGGCACAGAAGGGACGGAAGGATGGGTTTCCACTGTCCAAGTGGCGGGGGCCCTGCTGTGGCAGGAGGCAGCCACCGTCTCTCCTTATTTGGGGATATACCCCCAGCCAACTCCCACCCACACTGCAATACTGGGGTTCAACACAGTGACCACCAGCAAATCCTTGATGAATGAACCTGTTCATCATTTACTTACTCCCTGAACATGCTCAAGTGCCCACTGGAGACCCAGGGGCTAGAGCACTTGAGCATGGGCATGTGAACCCACCCAGCGGCCACAGGAGCAAGGACCTGGTGGTTTGTTTGCATGAAAATGAGGGCCTTGGAGACCCGATAAGGGACCGTAGTGGTTATGTGTTGGGGTACTAACCACAAGGTCATCAGTTTGAAACCACTGGCCACTCCTTGGGAGAAAGAGGAGGCTTTCTACTCCCAGAAAAAGTTGGAGTCTGAAAACCAGGACTGATGAACCTATAGAGTCAAGAAGTGGAATAAGGGTTTGGGGGGGAGGGGAACACGGAGGTGGCAGCAGGGTGAAGGGTCATGATGCCAGGGGGTCCATAGAGAAAAAGAAAAGAACGTTGGGAAACTGTGTTAGCCAATGTACAATTCTGCTGGATGCGACTGAACTATGGAATGAATTGATGTATGATACCAGTCCCAATTAAAAAAAAAGAGTGACAGTCTCAGGAACCCACAGGGACAGTTCTACCCTGTCCTGTAGGGTCTCTGTGAGTCAGAATTGACTCAGTGGCACTGAGTTGATTTGGAAGAGACTCTACAACAATGAGCCCTGGTGCTGTAGTGGTTACACATTGGGCTGCTAACCACAAGGCCAGGGGTTTGAAACCACCAGCCGCTCTGCAGGAGAAAGAGGAGGCTTTCTATTCCCACCGAGTTGTTACATCTAGGAAACCCACAGGCGCAGTTCCACCCTGTCCTGTAGGGTCACTAGGAGTCTGTACCGACTGGATGCCAGTGGGGTTGTCAGAGGCGACCCTGTGGGGCCACTCACCCACTCTGCCACGTGGGGGCACTATGAGTCAAAAACGGAACTCGGGGGGCACCCAATGACAACAGGAACAAGATCCAGTCAGGAGAATGGCCCAGAATGGCCCAGGGCCGGGCGACAGCGTTTTGTTCTGCCATTACAGAAGGCTGTCTCAGCTGCCTGATGGCAACTCACAACCACAAACTAAGCAGGGTGCAAATGATGGGGGCCCTAGGCTGGGGGTCTCTGTTGGGAGAGGCAGGCAGGTGCACCGCAGTACCCAGTGTCGGCTCAAGAGGGCGCTGGCTGAGCCCATAGGCAAGCATGTCCACCCACTTCCTCACCTGGCCTGTCTCTCAGCAGAGTCCCTGTGGTGAGGAAGAGCTCTTAGCCAGGATCCGCCCACAACCTAGACACACCTGAGAAAGACAGCTAAAACTGTGAGCCCACCAGGGGCTGAGGTCACATTAACATTCAAAACGGGGCCCACTGGGGGCCTATTTGGTTCCTAGTGGGGTAGCACTTATACCCACTATTTGGAAAGGGAAGTTTGGGGTGTGGAGGCCCTGTGTTTCTTCCCCAAAGCCTTAGGAAAACTTTGAGTTACAGGGAGGAACAAAAATCACACAGGTACTGGAGGTGGCCGGCCTCCTGGGCCCTGCATGACATTTGGAAACCCCGGGCTGTCTGCTCCTGTAAAGAGCCACGGTCTCAGAAACTCACCAGGGCAGTCCTACCCTGTCCTGGAGGGTCGCCGTGAGTCGGCATGACTCGACGGTGCTGAGTTGTTCTTTTCAACAGAGTCCCCGAGTCAGCCACCACTGTGAAGCTTCACGCCCTGCTCGGGGAGGTAGGGCACTGTTTTCTTCAGAGAAGAGAGCAGTGCAGAAAGGTGAGGGCAAAGGTCCCGAGGCCTGGTCAGTGGCCACCTAGGCCCTAGAATCCAAAGGTGGCATTAAGTGATCTCACACCTTCCACACTGTATCAAGCTTTCCCACTGGCACAGACCCAAACCCTCAAGCTCTGGGACCGCTGATCTCAACGCCAATGCAGGCTTGCCACGGAGAGGGCTCTAAGGACCACGTCCTCCACTGTGACTGCATGCAAGCCCTCCCACACCCCAGCTTCACGAGAAGATGCTACTTGCAATTAGCAGCTCGAGAGAACAAGAAGGAACACCTGCGAAAAAATGAGCACATCAGGCAAGGGGCCGTCTGTGACCTGTGGACCAGACCGGAAAACTCACCTCTGCACACAAACAACCGCCAGCTCACTGCACCCGACCTACATGCTTGGAAGAAGAGCCGAGTAAACCTCTCAGCACGGGCCAGCTATCTGTTTGCTGCTCACCTCAGAGGGCCAAGTGGTCAATTAAACCCTCTTCATGGGGTTTTCTCTCAGACCCCTGGTGGTGCAGGGGGGTACACGTGGGCTAGTAACCAAGAAGCCAGCCGTCTGACCCGGCCAGCCGCTCCTCTGGAGAAAGAGGAAGAGGGACAGACTCAGAAACCCACAGGGGCAGCTCTACCCTGCCCCCCAGGGCCTCGGTGAGTTGGAACGGACACCATAGCAGTGAGGTGTGGTTTTGGGGGGTTGTTTTGTTTTGTTTCACCTCTCTCTAATTGTTTTTCCTTAGGGGTCATCTAGCTTGTTTTAGCCCATTATTAAGACGAAAGCAGTAGATGGAGTACAAGTCTATTCCCACACAGATAGCTCTGCCATTTGGGGTAGCGCGGGGGTGGAAATCTATGGGACAGTTACAAAACGGACGTGAGGACATGCCACCCAAAGCAGATCACCTCCCCTGACGGAGCGCAACAAAACTATTAGAAATGTCACACAGCAAGGCCAGCCCCTGAGAAGCAAGAATTCCCATTCCCTTCACCACATACCACACACACGGTAAATCGTCTGAATTTTGTTTACCGGTTTGGTGACTATGAACTATTTTGTGATGTTAGGATGTCCCTTACTGTATGTTTAAGATGTGGGAAAAGGTACAACAATGTATTTTATTTTGCTGTCCTATCATTTACTCTGGCCCCAAAGTTGCATGGATTTTACCAGGCCAACTGTCTTCTGAAGAACCTGAAGTGTGTCTGATCTCCAATGGGCAGTGTCCACACACAAATCTGTATCATCGACTGGCCACTTCTTTAGGCTATCCCTGCACTGGCGGGCAGCGATTCTAGAACCTTCCTAATATATCTCCAAAAGCCACCTGCTTCACATCCGTCTTAGAATGAAAACCGAGGAAAAGCAAGCGCTCTGTCGGGGTGCCTATAATCCCAGCATCCATTAGCCAAAAGCATCTCCCAAAGTGCCCTCTCAGGTGAAAGAGGGTGATCCCAACCTCCTGTAGGGAACGGTAGTTCTTCCTGAAATTTGACACCCAAGCTTGATAAGAAAGGAAGACACCCAGATGGATCTTAAGGGGAAAGTACTGAAGACATAGGCACTGCTGCTTCATCAAGCGAAAATACTAACAATCATGAACTGACAAGCAGCTGGTCGAAGACGTGGACACTTTTAACTGTCTCAACGAAATGAAGGCAACCTTCCACTTACCTGTGCTGCAGCCTCTGCCGCGCCCTGGTCCCGAAGGCCTCCCGCCACTACTGTTCCTTCACAGAAGGGATGGCCTCTCCCTTCAGCCTTGGCAGCAAGGAGGTAAGGGAGGACAATTATTACGATATGTTCTCTGGACTCCCCCCAACTTGCCACCACCTTGCAGGAGGAAAGTCACCATGACCCCTGCCTTGGGCAAAGGCTACTGGGTGGCAGGGTGGTTGCCCTGAAAGCCCCTTGCCATTCTCCTGTCTGCCAGGTTCTCTAGCACCTGGGAGGTGGGACATGAGGAGCACTCCCTGGTCCCTCTGGGGCGGAGAGGGTGGCGTGCAGCCCTAAGTTCCCAAAGCACCCACCAAGCCCCTGACAGGACACAACCCAGTCCTCTTAGAAAGAATCTTGACATGCGGGGCACATCTCCCTTCACTAGATGCAGAAAGGCCAGTAAATCAGGGCCGAGTAACTGTCCCTGGGGTGCCCGGGTGCCCCGTTCCTCCAGCGCCCCTGCGCCCTATGGCTCCACTGAGCTCCGCGGCAGAGGAGAGGTTCAGGGCGCCATGGCGAGCCCTTTACGGAAATCCACCCGATCCCGCGGGGCCTGCCTCGGCTCACCCGTCGGGACCAGGCTGGGCAACAGCGCCTGTCCGGCCCACGCAGGGCGCAGGCGGTTGTGCCTTCAAGGCAGCCCGCGGCCCGGGCGTAAAGTTGCCCGGAGTTGCTTCGGTGGACTGGGCGCACGCACTTGCCTCGCGAGGGTGCAGGCAAGCCCGCGGGGTCACCCGCCTCGGGGGTCCTCGGGAACGCCCCCAGGTCGGTGACGCCCGGCCCTCTGCACAGCCCCCGCCCCATGTCCACCCACTTCCTCAGATGTACCCTGCGCGTGTCACCTCCACAAGTGGG